TGATAACTCTATAAAGTACTCATACTTACAATATTCAGAACTAGTTCAAGACTCTCCCATGACAAAAGAAAACGAGTAGCCTAATTTGCAAAGGTCTCCTTGGATTTTGGTGTGTGTGCTACATCCAGGATCAAACCCAAACACTTCTAGGGTGGGCTGGATTAAGTTTTTGGTAGCCTGCTTCATTATCAGAAGTTTGGTAATAAGCCTTACCACTAGAATACCACTTCTTCAGCATCAAGCATTTCTCAACCAGTTAAAGGATCGATGATTTCATCATGAATGAGAATGGAGAGCATCCCCTGGTGTGAGAATAGAAAGAAAATTCTTCTCACGTCATCAGGAACTGGAATGGGTCAATGTAGAACACCAGGAAGTGGAGATTTGGCAACTGCCGGATGGCTGTTCAGTGTAGTCACATCTGAAAGACTCGCCGTAGGGGTTGTTATTCAGATGGAGCCGTCCACACTGGCCAGAGAACCTGGAAGCATGCCAGACCTCCACTTTGTATCGTAATGGGTAAAGGCTGGGACTGCACAGCAAAAACACCCCCCTGAGATAGCGAGTTTCCATCTGAGAAACTCATCTTTCAGAGCCTTCTCCAGGTGACAACACACCCCTCTGTATGGCCAGCCCGGGGGAGCATGCGGTTGGTGGAAGCGAGCAGTTTCTTTGTGCCATGAAGCATGCACACCTCTGTCTAGATGTGCCTACGATCTATGAAACTCATGCTTTGTTGAAATAATGAAATTCTTTGGTCCTTGGTTTTATGAAAGGCAATATTTTCACAATCCTGTCAACATGGGCATCAGCAAATGACTTCAAGCTGGGACTAATGACGCAGGGACAAATTAAATACTAGATGGAAAACTCTACACCCTCCAAACTTCCCAGAATCCCCTGAGCTCCAGCATCAGGTCAGGTGTGGGGGCTAATGAGGCATGGTCAAGCCAACAGATGCCAGAGCTGAAGCTTAAAACTAGATGTCAATTTTTCATACTGCAAACATTTGAAGCATATCTCCATCCCAGTGGTAGATAAGTTGACTTTATGAACACTATTCAAGATGAACCAAATAGTAACTTGATTTTAGCCATGCTGTAGCCTTGGTCTCAAAATCACCTTTAAAGCCTAGGTAAGGAGAATCAGCTGATACTGTGACCAACTGAAAGGAATCATAATTTTAAGAGAATTTAAGTCCAATTTTCAGTTGGTTTTACTAGGTCCCAAGCACAGTGGACACACCACCTATGAGCTCCACGACTTGCGCTCCATGAAAACACCCTGGGTTGGAAGGACTCAGCCAATGTGTACGTTCTGCATCTAGTTTGCCTTTGCCCTGCTAAACATGGGTTTCATATGGCTTAACACACACAGTTCATTGATAAGACGCTCAGGACACATGGGAATGCTGATTGTATAACTGAAATGAACTTCAGATTGTCTACACAAGACTCACATGTAAACTTTATTAACATCTCTCAAGGAATGCTGATCTCAGCCAGGTTGGACGTTTCCAAGTCACCCACACGGAACCTGGGGTCAACCACCAAGGTCAGGAGCAGGAAATGCCATTTGTTCAGAACAAATGATGGACCAGCAGCCCTCCCTGTGACCGTGTCTAAATCATGTGAATAGTACAAAGGTGGCTCCTGAAAACCTGTCCTTGGCTCATGTGTATGGCCAAAGACAATCACCAAGGTGCCCATCTGGCCCCTGCAGCCATCAACGCAACCAAACTCTTCAGATAAGCCATAACTTACAGACTGCATGGAGTCCATCAACATGGCTTACATTGCTTGGAAGAAACAACCCGTATTACCCTTTTTTTTTTGCAACAAGCTTAAGGCTCTGTTCACAAACTCCATCAACTGCCACACAGTGAGAATTTATGGGGAGATCTTAAACTACATATGTAGTTGTAAAGGTTGGAAAATTTACTGATCCTAATGGTAAGGCTTATTCACAAATGCAATACATTTTCAAATTACATTTCAAGAAAAAAAAAATTAACCTGCTCTCTAACAATATAAGAGCATTAGAGTCTAATGGGGAAAAAAACACAAAAAACATTGGCACCAAACCAGTATGCTAAACAATATAAGAGCATTAGAGTCTAATGGGGAAAAAAAAAACCCAAAAAACATTGGCACCAAACCAGTATGCTATTTTTTTGAAAGAACAAGTGATATTAATGAAAAAGATTGCCTAAAACGCATATTCTAACTTACCACAGAAATATAAAAGTTTATATTCCGAAAATATATACTGTATTAAAGTCTGTAAGCATTTCAACCAAAATTTGCAGAAATAACTAAGCGACACTTATCTACAACAAAAATATACATGCAAGACAACCCCCAAATGGTTTCCCTTAAATATCTACAAAGGCAAAGTGTAGATTTTTAAAGATTATACAAAACCATTTACAGAGAACAAAATAAAATACTTACGAAATCTCATTTAGAGTCTTAAATACTGTGTATATTAGTGAGAGTGTCTAAACTAATATATACAACAGACCTAAGTATCTGAATATAGAAACACAAAGGAGAAGCAAGTTTGCATTTTAAATATTCACTTAGGAACATTTGAAGATGTTTGTATGTGTTTCTCTTTGTTTAAAAAAACTTCCACAGAAACGAGATTGTAAAACTGCATGAATGTAACTAAATTTCAAATTTTAAAAAGTTTACAAATTTTTAAGCCAACAGTTAATAATGGGAAATGCAATTCAGCATTCAGTCAAGGCTATTTTTAAATGTGGATATTCAGAGATACAGTTGCATTGATCAAAGTCTATTGTGATTATTACTTTTCCATCCTCATACTAAACTTTATATGGAAAAAAACATATTTCCATGATTCAGAGAGAACATTTCCTAATTTAATCTAAATTGAACAAGAATAACATTTTAAATCATTTCTCCACTACCTTCTCATAGTTATCCAATTTCGTCCTTAGAGGGTATTTTTTGATGTTTTTTTGCCCACGGACATTATTCCAAAGCCAGAAGAGACACGTGGCTACATTAGTCGGTGGCTTCCAAATGGTGAGGAGCTCTGACCTCCTTCTACAAACAGCCTCTTGGAATTCGGCCATTAACTCAAGTGTTTCCACTACAAGATGCTGATACCAATCTCCAGGGACTGGAGCAGAGAGGGAGAAGAGTTCTAATGCATGGCTAACAAGATGGCAAGCAGTGGGCTGCCTAGAAGGTTCCTTGACTGAAGAGGTACCCTTAACTTCCCACCCACAGCTGTTTTTCCAACCCCACAGGTAATTCTGGAATGTGGCTGCCAAAACAAGGCACAATTCCTCAAAGACTTGCCCAGGAATTGCAGACACAGCTGGGGTGCAGGCAAAGCAGGGTAGAGTGTGAAGAAAAGGATCTGAGGGTAAAGAGAGGGTTCTGGGATAGAAGATAACGAGTGGAAACCTGAGCCCTATTTCAAGACACACCCACAGATCTGGTATTTTCCATCCCAAGTCAATTTGCTATATGTTACCTGGATTTCACCTACACTTGATCAAAACAACTACCCAGAAAGTGAAAAAATCCAGAGCTTCAGTCTAAACAGATTTAACCAACTTTTGCCCACGTCGTGGAACATCCTTCTTGAATTGACAATATGAAAACAACCCAAACACAGATCATCGTTTGAAACACTTCCTGTTATAACCAGAACCTAGAAATTAAAGGGAATTCCACCTAAGTAATGGTTTCACATTCCTACCTTATCACCAGAGATCCTTGAAATGTTTATAAGTTTGGATTTGTGATATGTCCGAAGCTAAAATATTTCTGGTGTTTTCAGCAAGGAACAAAGATGGCCATTGATCGAAAGAAATTTCCAAACCTTCTCTTCCATCTCCAACAAGAATACTGACACTGCTTCTATGGTAAACACGTCTGCCCCTAGAAGGTAAACAGAAAGCAAGGGTCTCTTTCTTTAGAGGATTTAGCAATGCTACACAGATGATCTGCCACCACACACAACAATGAGGTTTGTCTAGGGGCTTCGGAGAAGCATACATTTGCTTTCTCAAAGGAAGAGAAAAAACCAAGTGGAAAAGTGATAATAGGCATTTAGGCAAAAGCAGGTGTTTCCCTAGAATAATTCCCTATATTCTAGGTCTGCAGTTCCTACAGGATCCCATGTGGACAAAGGGAAGGGCACACAGGACTTCAATTTGATCTTTCTCTGGCTAGACTCAGTCAAGGTGACTGTCCCCTCCCAGCTCCCCATGGCCCAGACTGCCTAGATGGAGGAAGGTAGAAGATAAGAAGCGTCATGAAGTCATGGAGAAACTCAAAAGTAGATAGGCTTTCTACAGAGGGAACCAAGGCCATCTTAAGGATCAAGAGTCCAGATAAACTTCAGATTCACTGTCTAAAGGACCATGTCTCTAGTCATAGACTAGATACTCAATGTGTCTCTGAAACACAAAGCTCAGAACCATAAGCCTCTCTATCTGTCTGGCCCATTGCATCTGGTCACCTTCCAGAAAGAAAAAGGAACAGACAGAGGTACATAACCAACCGTAGCAATGACCCTCCTTTGCTGAGCCCACCTCCCTTCCCCCAGCTATGCCCAACTCTAGCTGCTTCACTCAACTCTCCAAGGAAGGGTCATGAGAGACTGGGGACTAACATAGGAAGAGAGAAGACAAGTGAGCAAAGAGCCTCTGAGGACACTCAGGGGTTGCAGAGTGAAGATAAAGCTCATCCCTGGTTTCTCTTAAGAACAAGGATTCCATCATTACACCAAGAACCATTTTACAAGCCGAAGACCTGGCACAGAGCGATTCCTTTCAGCCACAGACATCCTTCCCCTTTTCTCTCTCTGAATTTTATTTCTACATGGTTTCTTGCTGCAGTGCACCAAGCAGCATAAACTTCGTATGGGATTTGGTCCAGGGCAGTATGAAAATAGCATCTGTGTGAAGACAGATATCATAATATATAAACAAAAATAAATAAATTAAATAAGTCTGATTAAAGGAAAAAAAACATTTTCCTAGGAGTTTATGTTTTTGCAAAACTAGCTTTACATATAATACACATAAATTATCAGAATTTCCACTTACATTGTTTTAAAAATATATATTTAACAAAACATTCCTAAATATACAATATCTGGTTTTGTAAATCACTCGGGTGGGTTTTAAGACCAAGCCCTAAAAGTTATACAGATTTGCATCAGAGAGGAGACTGAGGATGGCTCTACACAATTGTTTTGCTCTTCAGTCTGGAAATTCCCTAAGATGGACCGTCTCCCTTCCCCGGATCTGCACTTAACCAGAACGAGCATGCTGGCCCAGTCTCCAGAAGAGGCACTGTGCAGACACAGTCTGAGTCAGAAAAATGGGGAAACTGGTCTTCCCCTTCCTGGACTTGGATGGTGCATTTCAACAAGTGGGGGCAGAACAGTACCTGGCAGAGGCCTGGGAAGATATAGCCCTCATAGCTCTCTAGCCAGTGGGGTAGGGACACTGGGGAGGCCAAGTATACTGCATTTCCCATCTGTTACACAAAGTCAAACCAATGAAGAACAACCAACGCAAACAAAGAAATTAACACAACCCTAGGTATAGAGACACCTTGACAAACTCTTGGCCGGGCTTACACTGGGCTCCGATTTCTGAAACACAGGGCAAAGCTCAAAGTCAAGTGCCCTTGATCACTGCGGCAAGTGAGCCGGGGCCCTTCAGACTTCGTAAATTTTGTCCTGCAGGTAGCTGAACAGGGAATCCAGGCCTTTGGAGGAACTCCAGAGCTGCTTCAGCATGAGGCATTCTTTCTCATTCACATCTTCAAGCACCGATTTCAGGAAGCTGCGGACAAGGCATTTCGACTCCTCCAGCACCTGAAGGGAAAGGCACAGGCCTCGTTAGCCAGGCACCAGGGACTCTGCTCCAGAAGAACGCACTTGGCCTGTGAGGCACCAGTCAACCTCCTGATGTCCAAAGGCAGAGGAGGCTGCCTACTGCAGCCTGGGTTTTCCAGGCCCATGTCCCCAGCAATGCCAGGAGTGGGTTCCAGGTGTGCCATGATGTAGAGCCCACTGTCCCTGGGATGGCTGAGTGGGGCCCACATCATCCCCAACCCCAAGAGCTTTGTCTTTTAACCAAGGGAAACATAAACTTAGTATCACTTCCTATGGTGTCACAAAAAAGTTTAGAAAACACTACTTTCACCTCCTTCTGCTTCATTTTCATTATCTGTGAGACGGGAGTAATGATACCTAACTCAAGGATGGCTGGGATCACAGAGTAAGGCAATGACATGAACTAAAGGTTGTCCAAGCATCCATCCGAGCCACCTCAACAGCAATGCCTCTCCTTCAAGCTTAGTAGTAAGAGCAGTGGTAATAATGGTAGCAATCGCTGTAATAATGAGTATAATTACAATAATTGTGGTAATGAGTGAGAATAGTGAGAATAAAAATAGTAGAAAAACTATAGTATTCAAGAAGTAATAATAGTAGTAATTTGTTAAAGGAGTAATAGTAATGGCAGTTATATAGTAGTGATAATGGTGACGATATTAATAATACTACAGCATTATAGCAGTAATTATAATAATGATATTAGTAATGCAGTGGTAATAATAGTAACAATAATCATTGTAATGAATAATAACAATTGTGGTCATCATAGTATTAATAATACCAATGCCACTACAATCACCATTAACCAATAAGGTCTATGAGCATTACTTTTTCTTCATTGTGTCATTTCTTGCTCGTGAAAGCTCCACGAATAGGTCGTTTCCACAGGATAGATGAAGGACCTACACTCAATAAGTACAGTTGCCAGAGTTGCCTGATGGACGTGGCTGCAAACATCTGGCTGATTCTAATAGGCTGCACTGCTGCCTCATCCTGACAGAGGCTCTGCTAGGAAGTACAGCATCTGAGCATCCCTCCTTCGGCCTCCACCATCCTCTGCTGATGTCAGAGCTTCAGTTCTCACTCTCCCAAAGCGTGTTCACATAGAAAAAAGCAAGACAAGAGCACCCTTGCTCAAGCAGGCTGGGAAGGGGCTGTGATCTTATTCTTCAGCCTGGGCTAGAGGCGAACAGGCAGTGAGGAGGGGCTGGCAAACCAAGACGGCGTCTTTCCTCCCAAGAATTCCTCTGAAGAACACCATCTCCCAGAGGCTGTGGGTAGATTCCTTTCTTGGGGAAATCAACCCAAAGCTCCTGAATTCATAAACATGAACAGGAGAGGTTTCCTTGCTGTATTTGACAGCTGGTTTCACCTGCAAACCTCCATTGCCCAAAGACCAAACTCCTCAGTGGGGCTTTGAGGCCTTTCTCCCAACCTTCCTTTTCACACTTTGTCCCTTGACTGCCCTGGGCACCTGCTCACACCAACATGTGTTGCTACCTAACCTCCCCACAGGTCTTGGAACTCGTGTGCTCTAACTCACGCTGCTGCTTCTTCTTAGAATTGCTACCTGCCTCTCCAAATTGGAACAGAAGAAGCAAAATTGTCATTATATGTGGATGGCCTGATATTCTATATGAAAAAGCATAACGACTCCATCAAAAAACTGTTGGATCTAATAAATGAATTTGGTTAGGTTGCAGGATACAAAATTAATATTCAGAAATATGTTGCATTTCTATATATTTAAAAACAATCCCATTTACAATTGCACCAAAATGAATAAAATACCTAGGGATAAATTTAACCAAGGAGATTAAACACCTTTACTCTGAAAACTCTTAAGACATTGATGAAAGAAACTGAAGATGACACAAATAAATGAAAGGATAGACCATGCTCATGGTTTGGAAGGATTAACATTTTTTAAATGTCCATACTATCCAAGGCAATCTACAGATTTAATGCAATCCCTATAAAAATGCCAATGACATTTTTCATAGAATTAGAACAATAATCCCAAAAGAATTTTTAAAAATATTTTTATTGATTTTTAGAGAGAGAAGAGAGAGAAATACAGAGAGAGGAAGGGAGAAACACCACTGTAAGAGTGAAACATCGGCCGCCTCCCCTACCTTGTATTGAGCCTGCAATCTGGGCATGTGCCCAGACCAGGATTCAAACAACACTTCAGTGCACAGGACGATGCCCAACCAATGAAGCCACACTAGCCAGGGCAATAATCCTAACATTTATATAAAACCACAAAGACCCCAAATTGCCAAAACAATCTGGAGGAATAAGAACAAAGTTGGAGGTATCATGCTCCCTGATTTCAAACTATACTATAAAGCTATAGTAATCAAAATAGTATAGCACTGGCACAAAAACAAACAGATCAATGGAACAGAACAGAGAGTCAGAAATAGACCCACAATTCTATGGTCAATTAATCTACAACAAGGGAAGCAAGAATATATAATGAAGAAATGGCAGTTTCTTCAATAAATGGTGTTGGGGAAACTGGATAGATACATGCAAAAAGTGAATATTGACCACCTTCTTCCTCCATATACAAAAATAAACTCAATACCATAAAACCCCTAGGAAAAAACCTAGGCAGTAAACTCTCTGACATCAGTCTCAGATATATTTTTTTATATGTCTCCCTGAGCAAAGACAACAAAAGCAAAAGTAAAAAAGTGAAATTACATCAAACTAAAAAGCTTTTGCACAGGAAACCATCAACAAAAAGACTACCCACTGAATGGAAGAAAATATTCACAGAATATAACTCAGCGGTCGCCAACCGGTGGTCTCCGGACCACTGGTGGTCTCTGAAATCCGAAAGGTTGGTGACCACTGCTATATCTGATAAGGGATAAATACTCAAAATATATAAGGAATTCACAGTTTAACACACACACACAAAAAAAGACCTAACAAACAACCCAATTAAAAAATGGATAAATAGCCAAGACAGTAGGTGCCCAATAAAGGCTGACAACCCTAGGTATAGAGAAGAAGCAAAATTGTCATTATATGTGGATGGTAAACACGTATGGTTTACCATCTGGGTTGAATCAGGAGTGCACAGCAGCTCAGTGGGGGTTCAGGATAGGCAGGGAGAAGGGAGGGAGGGTCACAGGTCTGGCCCCATAAACCCAGCACAGAAAGCGTCCCCCGGCCTTATTCTAGAAAGCTTTTTCATTTCCTGAGCAGGCCCTGTGGTTGCAGGGGTGGCCTTTCCTCCACCTCTCAACAGGATATTTCCACACGGTGCTCAGAGTGACTTTTATGAGATAAAATCAACACTTAATTAAAAATCGGCGCCTCTGAGGAGGCGTCATTTATTTATCTATTTTTCAGTGTGTCTTCAGAGTCAACCGGCAATGCTTGAATGTGCCAAGTGCTCAGTGGGCAGGAGAAATACAAGGACCGTGTGGGCTGCTTCCTCTCGTCCCTCGGCTGGTTTCATACATGTTGCCCTTATTTGCCTTTGCTTATTGTTTCTTTGAAAACTATAGTAGTTTTGTGTCTGGCGGGGGGGTGGGGGGGGGTTGTTGAGGACTTTCTTTTAAGGCAACGCCTTCTTCCCCAGAGTATAAATCTCTTCTGTGAGGTTTTTCCAATTGGAGATGATGGGGAATATTAATAATGCTGGCCGTCTCCCCCAGGATTTAAGGTCTCAACACTGAGACAAGGCATCTGGTAAATTACACAGGGCCTCTCAAGTACTCCCTGCATGGCCTGTAGCAAGTCCATTAGGCCCTGTCAGCTCATTGCTTTCATCTGCAAAATGGATCTCTCTCTGTTTTTTTTTAATGACTTCAGAGAGGAAGGGAGACGCAGAAAGAGAGAGAAGCATCAATGATGAGAGAGAATCACTGACTGGCTGCCTTCTGCACGCCTTCTATTGGGGATCAAGCCCACAACCCGGGCATGTGCCTTGACCAGGAATCAAACCATGACCTTCTGGTTCATAGGTCGATGCTCAACCACTGACCTACACCAGCTGGGCTCTTGCACTGACAAGAACACAGAGACACAGGACTCACCAGTGCACTGCAGGACGCCATCTCCTTGACCCGAAGCATGACCTCCTGGCTGAACGTGGTTGGCCAGAAGACCTGGGACACCAGTCCTCTGCTGCAAGCCTCCTGGGCAGTGAGCTTCCGCCCACAGAAGAGCATCTCATTGGCCTGAAAAAGCAAAGGCAGGGGAAGGCTGAGAGCCCGGAGGACCTCTCGTGTCTGCTAGTGATGCCCGTGCTTGCTGTAAGTGTTCCGGGTCTGGAAGGCAGGAGTCTCAACCGGGTCCAATAAGCTTTGGAAACTATAATCAAACATTGTGTCTATGTGCATCTTTCTGAGCAAAGGGTCCACAGATTTCATTAAATTCCCAAAGAAGCCATGTACCTACTGTTGCTTTGTTTGCCCAATTACCCTCCACCTATGTCTGGCAGCAGACCCACAGAAGTAGGCACACACCTAAGACTGGGTGCATTTCTGTGCTGCGTGGTGACTGGCCAGGGGTTGACCAGATGATCCACCCTAGTCTCTATGGGGTTTCCAAGCTGAAGGCCCTGGGGAAGAATCTTTCTCTTCTGGTTGCTGTCAAAAGTCAATGAGCCCAGGCCACCGACTGCTGTGTCCCCGCTCTGTGGAGAGGCAGGTCCACAAAGAAGGAAGGAACGGAGAACAAGAGAACTGACAGTACTTGAATTCCTGGACTCATCACCCACCAGGGACATTCCACTTCTGGACTTGTCAGTTATGGAAATCATTATTCTTCCCCCGGCTCCCCTCAAGGCAAAGTGTTTTCATCACTGGCAGCCAAAAAGGTGTTGAGTAACTAACACCATAACACAACACAGAGCAGCGTCTCTCCTGGTGGCCCAGGGCTGTGCATAGACACTGCCCAGTCTTGAAAGGTGGGAAGTAACCCCTGCCTTCTGAGGACTCCTCTGCACCCCACTCCCCAAAGAATTTCCTTTTGCTTTGAAGTTCACAGCTGTCATAGACTTCTGGGAGGACCTCCATGGATAAGGTCCACAGACAGAGCATAGTGCTGTCACCGCTGAAATTTACCAACAGGTGACTCTCGCACTGAAAATTAGGGCATGATGGTCATGACCATGTGACAGGGTCCTTATCTCTTTCAGGATGAGTCCCTACCTCCTTCACAGGGCAGGCAACCCCTCCCTAATGGGCCATCCACCTGCCTCCCCTTCTTCCTTCCTGCCCCATACGCTTAGCTGCTCCATGATACACATGGAAACGCCAAGCTCCCTGAACCTCTGCGTCCATGCCTGGCTTCCCCCTTTGTTCTGGTTGTCACTGATGGGTCATGATTGACCCAAAGGACAATTTTTCACGCCAGAGTGGAAAACCTGATCAGGTCACCAGTCCATAGAATGCATCAGGTTAGAGGTTGGAAGACAAATATTTATGTCTTCCAACAAATTATACTTATTTAGGAACACCTCGGTCTCAGGAGAAATGAAAGGAACTCAGTAGAAGGAGCCAAACAGGATGCAGTCCACAAGAAGAACAAGTCTCAAACAGCCACATTCTTGGGGTTTCAGAAATGATTGCAATGAAGGAGAAAAGGAGATAAGACTGTACAAAGTTAACATTTCTGTGACCACAGAGGACGGGGAGGAACTGGAGTGGCAGTGAGCTGGGGCAGAACACAGTGGCTGAGATCAAAAGGGAAAGTGTTGCTTCCCAGGCTCCCTGCCTGCCTCATTTTTCTGCCACCCGTGAGACTGAGCAGCCTAGAGCAGCCCCGAGCAGCCCCCAGGGCACTGCTGAATCCGAATGGCCTTATCTGTCCCCACTGTAGGTCCTGCTGCATAGATGTGGTGCTGGTGGGTTTGAGGGCTGAGGGTAACCTCTGCTGGTCTCTTAGTTGCTATTCCTGCTTCATGCTACCATCAGAGACAGGCCACACAGAAGCAGTGGGAGGGCGGGCTCCCATCCTTCTAGACTCATTCAAGCAGTGCCCCTGCTGGGAGCCTCCTCACCTGCCCGTAGGGTTTGGCCCTGTCATCTGGATCATGATTCTTTGGTAGTTTTCTGGGGTCTCCCAGGACCACCAGCATCTGCAGGCAGAGTGCTCCCAAGCAGTCCTTGGTGAAGCCTGCACCACATCAAATCCATTTCAAAATGCCACCTCTCAGACTGAGTAGACCAACCACTTACTGAACCCTTCCTATATCCTAGTGGTGGTAATCTCAGACTCACTCATCAGAGGTGGGTTCCATTTTATAGCATACTGGTTAAGAGCACAGGCTCTGTGTTCATATTCCACAACTTCCATTGCTACTGTGTGATCTGGGACAACTCACTTAGCCTCTCTGATTCTCAGTCTCCACATCTGTCAAGAGGGGAAAACAGTAGTCCTACCTTACAGGTGTGTCTTGAGGATGAACTGAGTTAATGGCTGTCAAGCACTAGCCCCAGTGAGTGCTCTCTGAGCTGTTATGACTCACCCTTGCCCAGACTTGCTTCTGGCTGCTGGTGTAGAGTCTGACCATAGCCTACAGTGGGTGCTATGACCTTGCTCGAACACCACTCTGCCTGCTTATGCGGAGGCTTACCAGCGCGACACCCAGGATCTGGGGGAAGGTGTACGAGGAGCAGCCGGCGGGCGTGAGGCGGATGGTGGCATAGGGGGTCTGAAACCAGGCCTTCTCGCTGGCCCACACGATGTCGCAGAGGGGCAGGATGGAGGCACCCAGGCCCAGGGCGGGCCCGTTGATTGCCACCACGATGGGCTTCTTAAACTGGATAAAGGCCTTCACAAAGTCCCTGGGGAAAAGAGAAGACCCTCTTTAACAGGTGGCCAGGCTTGCTGAGACCATGTGATGCCCTTGACTGTAGTGAGGCTGAAATAAGCTTCCCCAGGTGCAGTGAAGCACGTGTAGGTCCTCAGAGAAGAGTGGGTGCCAGGCCAGGGTCACGTTCTCCCAGATGCTGGGCCACTGAGCTGCAGTCCGAGGCCTGCCACCCTCTCAGGTTGGTGCCAGGTTCCCAGAAGGGACCTAATGGGTGACCACATGTCTGGGTCTGCCCAGATGGCCCCAGGTCATGCCCATTGAGCCAACACTGCCCTTCCACTCCCTACACACTCACAAAAACTGTACATATCCCAAAAAAGACAACCTGAATGTTAAGATTCAGAACCAGAACTCAAACTAAAAAGAGGGTGTTACAAAGAGGCATATTTGAACTCAAGGAGAGAAGGAACATTCCAACAGCACTGGCTGAAGGTGGGGTGACGGCTCCAGGAGGTGTGAATTCCTCATTATTGGAAATAACCTTGGCTCGATGATAACTTTAGGTGAAATTATAGAGAGAATTCAAGCTTCGGATGGTGGGCATGGGTAGGGATTGGTGACATCTAAGATTTCTTTCGATTCCAGGAAAGATTCTGAATTGCTAAAGGGATGCCAGATTCTCAAGGGTAGTTCTAGAATACTGACGAGGGTCTATGTGTTAGGGTGACCAAAATTGAGGAAAGATGCTGGACTCCCCTGGAGGCATGAGGCATCTGGAATAATGGCTACAGGATTAGGCAATATTTTATCCCCCTGACCTTCTGCATTGAGCAAGGTTACAGCCTGCATCTTTATCTATTAAGCAAAGCCACCCAAAATAACCTCTATTTCCTTTACCTTCGACACTTTTTGCCTCCCTGCTACTTGCTATATAAGACCTATAAAATTTTAATATTCAACCTGACATGGAGGAAAGATCCAAGGTGTCTAGAAAATCTACACCCTTCATTATTCTCTGGTGATACACTGGAAACTACCAAGAACTCACAAGAATAAAATCCAAACTCCCAACCGTGACCTTGGTCTACCACTGATTAGGCCTCCAGGCTTATATCATGTCTACGCACCCCTGCTCTCTGTGCATGAGCTGCACAGCCCTTCTGAGAGTTCTTGCAAAATAGCATTATCACAATTTGCAATTATCCTAATCGCTTGCTTGCTTACTTGTTCTTAAATTCTCCTCCCCTCCAGCTCCATAGGAAAATCCATAGGTCTGCCTTGTGCACTGCGTGGTTTCATACATATTGAAATTAACACTCAGTAAATAGTTGTTGGATACAGGATTCTCCCAGAATGAGAGCAAAGACTGCAGATGTGTGGCAGTAACATACTATTTCTTCACCAGACTTTATATCCCCCCCTTTCCCTTCCCTCTTCTTCCTGAGTCTATTGCTAGAACACATTTCCCAGTCTCCCTTGAAATTGGCTGTGGCCAAGTAACCTAGTGCTGGCCAAAGGAATGTGAGTGGAAACCATATACACACTTCTAAGCCTGGTTTGTGGAAACCTCTCACCATGCAGTGCTCCCAGTCCTTTTCATCTTGATGGGCATGGCAATCGTATTGAGCCACAGGATAGAAGGAGTCTGGGTTCCTGAGTCATCACTTTGAGGCCAGCCATGGGCTCATCAGTAACATCTATTTTAGGTTCACATAAGCTAGAAGTAAATTTCTATCACAACTGAGCTATCATATATATTTGGGTTTGTTTGTTACAGCAGCTAATACTTAACTAATACAAATGTAAACCTGATTCATCCCTTCTCAATGGTTACCATCCTCCCCAATTCTTATCAAAATATGTGCTTATCATGGTGATATGTTGGGACTTAATTCAATTGTGAAAAGACTTCTTAATATTCTGCTGGGGGTGGGGTGCCTTAGGACCTATATGTCTTCATGAAAGAATACACCCTTGACCCAGGCTTGAGGCATCACGTTTCCTGACTCTTGTATGATTCTGTGAGTAGATGATGGATTATCCCAGCCACTTCTGGTCCCACTGCAGCTGACCCCAAAGGGACACTGCCACAAAGAGGAGTGTTGTCACCATGGCCTTCTGATTTCCGGTTTTCCAGGCCCACTTCCTGGCTTGATTTCCCAACCTGATGGTCTCAGTCACTGGTTTTAACAAGTGCTTTTTACCAAATGCAATTTGGAGTCTGCAGGGATATGGGGCTTGTTTGCAGGATCCTTGGACCCACCGGGTTTGGGTGATTTTTGACAGACATTCCATTCCTAAAGACACTCGCTCAATTACAGGATCCTGGATCTCAGAGTGGGAAGGACTTCAAGAGTCTTCGAGACAAATCTTCCACTTGGTACGGAATTCTCCCCACAGCATCCTGAGGGTGCATCCTCTGGCCTCTGTTGGACATTTTCAAACAAGTGGGTCCTTCCCTATCAAGACGCCTTCCTATTGTGACTTCATGTGGTCTCTCTCATACTTGCATTCACTCTGCTCCATAAACCACATGACAGTCCTTCAGGAATTCAGCTCCACTCTCACGATCTTCCAGAAGCTTTCCCTTCCAGACCCCAGAGCCTTGTATTCTTTGTTTTCCAACCTGAGCTCCATGCAGGGGGATCAAGGGCCCCAGAGAAGGGCTAAGGGGACTAAATGTGCATGGCTCCCCCCGACCCCTCCTGCAGTCCAAGCAGTTCATTTCCTGGACATAAAAAGATGATGCACAGACCATCTCCCCATCCTTCTTCTCTCACCTCAAGTGGATCTCTATCACAAGGGCCCAGAGGGTGTAGAAGCCAGATAGCAAACAGGATATTGCATTACAGACGCTGCTGCTCAGATATCTGGTTCTGACTTGGATGGCGGGGCTGCGCTAGGGAGATGACTCCCCGTCTTCCCAGCAGCCATGTCTGCCACGCTGACCCTGGCCCTTGAAGCTTCCTCCACTCAACCTGAGTCTGTGGCTTTTGCTTGCCTGAGCTGCTGGGCTCTTCAGAGGCAGCAGAAGGAGCAAAAACTTGGGGGTCTGAAAGACTTGCGGTCAAGTCCTAACTGTGCCCCTAAGTAGGGGTGAGATCTTGGATGAGTTACAGTCTCTGCAGCCTCATTTTCCTACTGGGAAAATGGGAAAGCCACTGGTGCATCCCCACAGGCCATATGAGAATTGCATGAGACGTCCACCCAGGGCACCGGCACAGTGCCTGACACAAGGGCACCCTTGATCGCTGCTGCGGAGCATGGACGCAGCTTTCATTCCACATTCAGTGGTCTGTGAGCCACCCTCCTGGTCTAAAGGAGACTCAGAAGCAAAATTCTGCTCACAGGGGTGTCTGGATTTTACCAGGAGCAACTGGCATTTCTTTTGTGAGCCAGTTATTCATTCCTTTTAACCAGAGCCATGGGGTGCAGCCCTCCCACTGCCAAGTCTGCTGGTACAGGGCCTGTGAGCTCCCGATATACGGGCACTCTGGGAGCCCACTCCATCATCAGACTCAGGCTTAGCTAAAACTGGGAATAACATGAAAATAATTCTTTACACCTCTTCCAAGTATTTATTATGTGCAGGAACAGGCCAAGTATTTCATGTGGGTCGTCTGATTGCTCTTCATCCTAGCACCCTGCCAGCAGGCCACTGCATCACCTGTGAGGAGTTCAGGTGCAGGCAGCCTCTTTCAAGATGGGGCAGACGGCTTTGTTTGGGGCCCAGGGAGAGGCTTCTGCAGAATGAATCATCCCAGCTCTCCACACATCTGCTAGTTCATTCAGCAAACATCTGCAGAGTGAGCGCAGTGCACAGGGTCATGTGTAGGAGCGCCACTGGGGGAGCGATGGCTGTGGCCGTGTGGCATGCTCACGATCCTGCAGGTCAGCGCAGCCCAGCACATGCACGTCCCAAGAGAACTGCGAGGCATCTCAGTAGATGATAGGTTCTATGGCTAAAGTATGTTTCAGCCATGCTCAATTTTGAACAACGTTCTTTCCCAGGAAACTACTCAGATTGCAAATATGTTAACATGCCTGGGAAGTCTGTGCGAGCGGGGACAGAACTTCTAGCGTGGCCCAAACTCAGTTACGACAGTGCCCTTTGCTCACGATGCTCCTCTGGAAATCTGAAGATTGCTCTCTGGGAAATGTTTCTCTGCCACATCGTGTCCCCAACTCTGGAGTGTGGCTGCTGGAGGGACCACTGCAAAGTCCGTGGAGCTGGGCCTCCCTGGAGGTGTGTGGTGGTGATGAGCAAGCCACGGTCACTTTCTGACCCAGGGACACCCTTCTCTACTAGGTGTCCCTTCTTGAGACTCCTCACCCTCCCTCTCCCTTCTATCACCTTCCTCTTCACCTTATTCTCTTACAGCCAACTTTCTTCTCTTGCATAAAAATAAGGACCTTTTTGTTTCCACACCTTTTAGTGCTCTCAGTCACTGGTGCTCTCAGATTACCCTCTTGGTTGGGATGGAGCAGGGGTTCTCAGCCCTGGCTGCACATTCGAACCACAGAGGGAACTTTAAAACCAAAGATATGCTGGCCCCACCCCATGCTCATTAACTCAGAATGTCCTGGGGGTGCTGCCAAGCAGCTGGGTTTTGAAAAGCTCCCTGGGGAGAGTCTCGGTGCTGCTGGGGCTGAGAACCAGTGGCCTAGGGGACACCCCACTCCCCATCCCTCCCGCGTGTCTGGCGGCTCATGCATTACGAGCTTCTGCTCCCTTTGACACACTGGGAAGAATTCCCTCGGCCCTCTCTCCCTCCACTCGGCCTAAGAGAAACTCACCTTCCCGATGAGAGGGCAAATGTTTGAATGCCACTGGCCGCCTTTCTCCAGCAGTGAGCTAATGTGCTCAGCATCTCCTCAAAGTTGGGACCTCTAGAAATTAGCTAATGCCTCTGCAGAAACTCATAAACCAGACGAAGGCTACGGCCAAGGTGCTCCTCAGCTGTAGAGATGGGCGCCCCATCTCGGATGGTCCATAAACGAGGAAGGAGGCTTACTGGGGACCCTGCTGCTCCCCTGCCACCTGACAGGAGCGGAGAACAAAGCACCGTGGCCATGGCCAGGGCTGTCTGCACCCGGAGAGCCTGAGAGCTGCATGAAACCACATGCTTTTTCTAATAACATCATTCGGGATTTTCGTGTCTCTTTTGGGGGAGACATGAGTTCTGCAGCAGGAAGCACACAGGTGTTTGGAGCATAGACTCCAGTGAGTGCATCACCCTGACTGGGACGCAGAACCCCACGTGCGTGTGAGGCCACCCCCGTGCCATTTCTTGGAGACTCTGCATACCCTGAAAGCCTCCCACAGCCTCATGGGAATCAGCCTCCGTGTGACGATGTCACAACACAGTGAGGCTGGAGGGTCCAGAAAATCCCTAACCTGTGGCCCAAGGCTCCCTGACAGCCTGCAGAGTAAGTGTTCCTTCTCAAGGGACCAGGGAGCATTACTGAGCTGTGACTCCTGTCCGAGCACTTTGCAAAGTGAGCAGTGAATGTGGGTGTGCTCCCCGGCGGGGAGGACAGGCGGCAGCCCTTGTTGGAAATCACATGAGCTCACTTGCTTTTGATAAATCTCTAAAGAAGGGGGACATAACTACCCGTCAGTGTCCCAAAAGAGATACTGATGGTTGGGATCAGATATCACCCCAGGATCCCAACTTTTGCCCCAAAGGCAACAAGAGGGGGAATTACTCCCCACACTGCCCAGGGGACCCATCCATCCTCCTCCCCGGTGCTGAGCCATGTCAGCTCCAGGAGCAGAAATGCCCAGAAAGTCAAAGATTTCGCCATCAGACAGAGGGCAGGAGAAGTGTGGATAATGCATGGGCATTACCAGATGCTGGGCTGGATATAAGAAAATAAAATATTTGGGGGATCAAAAGAATAAAATGCAATCTTAGGGAGTAAAGGCATCCCTAATTTGGACAGGAAAATACGGGACATCCAATCAAATTCCAAATTTCAGATAAACAACAAATATTTTTTAGTATAAGTATATCCCAAATGTTGCATGGGACATACTTATGCTAAAAAACAAACAAACATTATTTGTTGTTTGATGAGTTTAACTGAGCAGCCTGTATTTTCATGTGCTCAATTTGGCAGTCCTAGGCGGGTCCCCTAGTGTCCGAACAGGAGCAGAGCTCACCTGATGGATTCTGCAATGCGGGTGCTCTCCTTTCTCCGGTCGCTGGACAACCGGCCAATTAGGTAGGAGTAATCCAGGCCGCTGCAGAACACGCTGCCCACAGCACTGAGGAGTAGCAGCTTGCTGTCATCTGTGGCCGCGTTGCAGAGAGCTCGCCGGACCTCCTTCATGATCTGTGGGCAGATATGGATTTGCGGAGATGTTAAATGTGTATCTGGAAGCCAGGGCAGAGGTGAGTAAATCTGCTCTGTCTGAGCAGGGAGCCTCCCCTGAATGAGCCATGTCCAGACCTAGCAAAGAAACAGCAAAACCAGAGCTCCCCTACACCCTCCCTGAAGCAGGCACAGAAGGCTAAGGAGGTGGCAGAGGGGGTACTGGCTGCAGACTTGGAAGCCTGGCTTGGAGTCCTTTAATCCCTGGTAACTCTGCAAATCTTCTAGCATTTGCTTGGTTAGCCCTTTTCAAGGTGAAGGGGAAAATTCCTGTGCACAGCAGGTGAGTTATGTAAGCTATCTCTAAAAGGCCAAATTAATTCTATACTCTTGCTCACCCTTAATTCAACAAAGACCCTTACACAGCTTATGGGTGGGAAGTGGGCTTTGCCATCAGAACCATAAAATGTTCAAGGTACCAGGCAAATAACCATCCAACATAAATTCTGTATCTAGCTAAACTATCATTCAAAGGCAAGGGTAAAAAGTAGGCATTTCAGTAAAAGAATGTTTACCACGCTTAGACTCTCACTGAAAGAACTAAAAAAGGATGCACTTCAAGAAGAAAACTACATTCAGAAGAGAAAAATAAATGCACCTGACATTCAAGGAACAAAGCCACCAAAGAAATGGGTGAATGTGTTGATAAATCAATATAAGAACTGATGATAAAAATCACCATACTGATATTGACTAATGGGGGGTGCACAAGGTAGATCTATGGTGCTGGGCACTAATATTGTGTCAGATGAGAGAAGGGGTGACCAGAGTTAGAGCATACCTAGGTTATATATCAGGGAGAGATGGACAAGTAACAATTACATTTAGGTTTTACTATGTGAACATAACATGGATAACTTCTTAAAAGTTCATAAAGAAACTCAATCAGTCATTCCAACAGAAGTTATGGGACAAGAAAAAATAAGCTCAGAAAGAGTATGGTAAGAGAAAACAAGGCATGCACTTGCCTGGGTAAAGCTGAGAATGCCTCGAGGGAGACAATAAGTGAATAGGCTTTTATTTTAAAGATTTTTTTATTGACCTTTAGAGAGAGGGGAAGGGAGGGGAAGGGAGAGAGGGAGAGAGAGAGAGAGAGAGAGAGAGAGAGAGAGAAACATTTATGTGAGAGAGGAACATTGCCTCCTATCAGGGATCGAGCCCACAACCCAGGTATGTGCCCTGACCGGGAATTGAACCAGCAACCTTTCAGAACATGGGATGACACCCAACCAACTGAGCCACACCAACGAGGGTGTGAACAGGCTTTTAAAGAATCATTGATTATTCAATTGGCATAATCATAGGATATAGTATTGAAATGTTCTGAAAGTACTATTTTTTAAATATACTTTTTAGAGAACCCCCATTTATTAAGCACTTAGAGGTACGAGTGTAATTTCCATACAATATTTAATTCCAAACAGAAATCCTGGAAGAAAGGGAATGGCATCCCGATTTTATAGGTAGAGCAAGGAAAACTCAGAGAAGTGAAGTTTCCAAAGTCACCAGTAACAGGCAGAACCAGGATGCAAATCTCACCCCAACATCCCTTCTCTTTCTCCTACCTTCTCTTTCCACTGCTCCCCACTGTAGGATGACTTAAGTAAATGGATGAATTTGAGTGAAAAAAAACAAACAGAGCTAGACGTCCATCTGAATCAGGATCTGCCGGCCTGTGCATGCTCTGTGAGAAGGATGGGAGAAGCACTTTCCACTCTCACAGGGTGTAAGCCCCAGATACCCATTTTGAACATCCAAAAAGGTAACAGGCCACTATCTTGTGGGTCTTTTCATCTATCTGCCTCCAAAAGCAGACAGTCTGACCCACACGAGAATCTGTGTAAGGCGTGATTCTACTCACGACTCAGAGAGTAGTCTCTCTCTGAGGTCACACTTGCTTGTCAATGAGTAAAAACACAAATTCAAACGAAGCAGCCACCTCCTTTGTGAATTAAATGGAAAGCAAATTTGTGTTTCGTTGATGCAACGAATGTACAAACTACATTTCTTAATTTAAAAAAAAATTGTGCTTAGTGAGTATCCTGTGCCTTTGCCTGTCTCATGTTGATAATCCAATATGGACTGATGGCTTGGGACCTTCTTGAAGGACCTGACTTTTATAATGTAACTGGTTTGTTTAAGGTGAAATGTGTTAAAAGCATCACCCTCCTTTACCTTCTTACACAGAATACACTGCCCACATGTCACTACTCGGTGGCCACTTGCTGGCCTGAAACAGACCGGTCCCCTCAGGGGCTCCCGGGTTTGCCTCTAGAACAAACGCCCCCAGACCTCTCTGCATATTAAAGCCCTAAATCTGTTTGTGAGAATTATTCCCCTCGTTACACACATGCCAGCTGCCACTTGCTCCTGCTGTTAGTGTCCACTAGAGAAAGCACCCTCCTCCCCTGCTACTTCTAGCTGCTGACCTGCCGTGGGTTGGAACCAGATAACCAAATGCATTCAAAGGGGTGTGAAATGAGAGGAAATCAGGGTCCCCCTCTCCACTTCATCTTTACTTGCTGAGCTCAGTCACCCAGGGCCCACCTCCACGGCAACCACCTTCCTGAAGGCCTTCCCACATATACCCAAGTAAATGCACACTCTTCCTTCTCCTGACAGCCCAAGTGTTTAAACTCCCTGCTCTGACAACTCTCCCTTGTCGAAGGTACATCCTTACCTTATCCTGCCTCCTCCCTAATGTAAATCCCTGTGTGGGCAGCCTTGGTGATGGCCCTCAATAACCCTTTCCTCTTGTATTCACACCCCTGTGTAATCCCCAACCCTGGAGTGCAGACTGGACCCGGTGACTCACTTCTAGCCACGAGAATACAGCAAAGTGATGGGATGTCCCTTTTACGAGGAGATTCGGATACAAAAAGACTATAGCTTGTCCTGGCTCTCTTCTCTTGCTGACTCCCTTTTTTAGAGCTCTCAGTCTGGGGGAAGCAAGCAGCCAGCTAGTGAGTAGCTCATGGAACCATTACTCCATAGTCCACCTGGAGTAGCCGCATAGCAAGGCACTAATGTCTCTGGCCAGTGAGGACCTGAGACCTGCCGACAGCCACTGGGGAAGCTTGGAAGTGGATCCTCCTCTGTTGAGCCATCGGTTGAGGCTGCAGCCCCAGCCAACTCCTTGACTGCAGGCTTGTGAGAGACACTGAGCCAGAAGCATCAGCTAAGCCATGACTGGATTCCTACCCACAGAAACTGTGAGATAATAAATATTTGTTGTCTTAAGATGCTAAGTTTGGGCACTTTGTTTTGCAGTAACAGATTAATACAATCCTTTAAGAGCTAAAATAGTATTCTACTTATCTGAATAACCCTTGTAACACCTAGTCCAGAAATGTGCACATACTAGAATTTAATAAATATTTATTAAATTGAGCGAATGGCACAGTATCCAACCTTCAAAAGGATTAGAGTCTAATGGGGGGAATGAGATATTTAACAAATTATCACACAATTACATATACACTAACAGCTGCAATAAGTTCTGGTAGGGAGGGGTGCACGGTGCTAGGAAGGCATATGAAAGACCTGATCCGGTCAAGGAGGTGAGGCAAGACTCTCTGGTGGGAGTGATGGCTGAGCTGAGATATGAATGAAGAGTAAAGGTCAGCTAAGTAAGAAGGAAAAGAAAAATTTTTTGGTCAGAAGGACAAATATATACAAAGGTGCTGGGGCAGATGTGAGCATGAAAAAAGGCCAGAGTAACTGGAATGCAAGAGGAGAGAAGAGTGATGTGTGATAAGAGATGGAACTGGAGAGATGGGCAGGGTCAGAATGCATCTGCCCCCCAGGCCACATAATGGTATTTGATTCTTAACAAGAGCGATCAGAAGCCACTGATGTGTGTACATGTGTATGTGTGTGTGTGTCTGTGTGTAGAAAGTGTAATTTGATCAGGTTAGCTCTTCCAACTGATCACCCTGCCTACCCTGTGGTGAGTGGATTAAAAGGCAGGACATGTGAAAGGGGGCAGAATTGTTAGCAGTTTATTACAATAGTCCAGAAAAGATAGCCGAGTGGTCTGGACTATAAGGGCTGTGAAGGAAATTGAGAGAAAACACATTTGAGAGCTATTCAAGATACTCAAGTTAACAGGCCTTGGGGATGGTGTGGATGTGGGGTATGATCAAGAGGGCCGAGGGTTGACTCCCACATGTCGGGTGTGCCCATGGATGCTGGTGTGCTGTCTCTGAGCACTGAAGAAAACCAGGAGTTGAGTGACGGGTTGGGATCCTCTCCTAATGGGGAAGCAGATGCGCTTTGAATCACCAAGACTTTGGGCAATCGATGTTGCTGTCTCTTTCCCCAAGGAGCATTTCATTATTTCCCTGGTTCTTTGCTTTATTCCAGAGGGGAGAATTACAACAACATACCCACTAGCCTCAGAATCTAGTTAACAAACCTAGTAATGTATGACTTTTTGCCCATGAGGCCACTGTCAATTAGAAAAAGAAATTCAATTATGACCGTGAAGGTGGCCCTCCCAGTTCCTCCAAGAGTGAGCGAGACTGAGTCTGCTGGTGGCCATTAAATTGCCTCTGTTTCCTCTTAACAATGATAGGAACACCCACTGAATACCTCCTATGTGCTGGGTACTCTGTGAGCCTCTTTGCAGACAAGCAAGATACCGTATAACTTCTATAAATGAGGGAGCTCAGGGAGGCAAAATAACTTCCTAAGGTAACAGAAGTGGTGAGTTGGTGGAGGCAGGACTCAACACCCACGTTGGCTAGACTCCAAAATCTGCATTCCTCCACTAACACCACCTCTTCATTTCAAGAGGATCTTTTTTTCGGACTACTTTACCCAGTTGCCGGTTTATCCGGAGTCAATCCACATTGGTTGTGGAGACCCCTAAAAACACCAGATCAATGTGTTTTTTCCATTTTTCTACCATTCTGTTGCCAACAGACACCAAGTAGAAATGGACCTCTAATTAACCAAGCCCACAGCAGGTAAGAACCGATGCACCTTAAATCAGTCAGAGGCAACACATTTTCCATGATGAGTAACAGTTACCACACAAAGCTACTCCAAAGGGACAGGATGAACTGGGAGACTTCGCACTTACTCGATTAATCGAAGGGAAATGCTGTGTCTTTTAAAGGATGCTTTTAAAAAGCAGTGAAGTAGGAAAAAGATCTAAGAATTGGTCTCAGTTGGATGCTTTATGATGAGCTTAAAAATAACAAGGTTTGCAGGTGTATAAACATGTACAGAGCAGCCTTCAAGGTAAGCCACACTCTGGACTTCTCTGAAGCCTACACAGGGGTCTGCCCAGCACAAAACCCCCAGATGGTGGAGGAGGGAGAGAGTCCGGAACATCATGCTTAAAGGAGGGGCAACAAGCAACCATGAACCCCACAAACTGCACAGACTTTAGCCACATCCCTTTTCTTACACTTGGCATCATTCCTGAGGGTCACACCCACAATCCCATAAAACAGCCCTAGACTATGATAAGACAGGTGATTGCAAGATCAAGGACTCAGCAATTCCCACCCCACCCCACATCCTGGGCCTCCCTAAGTGTACTGGATACACTGGGCAATGCCAGGCCATCCCACCAATCCCAGTCTGGGTGGTCAACCACTCCTTGACCTTTGACTGTGTCCCCTCAAACACAGCCCTATGTTAACCCTCCATGTCTTCATTGCTACTATGGAGATAAGAGTGCAGGATACTGCAGGGACAGGAAGATACCACGCTAAGGGAGAGAAATAAAATGAGGGCAAACCTGACAATAGTCCTAACCTTCTGAAGCTAAGCTGTGTGAGCCTGGGCCTGTGAATTTCTCTAAGCCTGTTTTCTCATCTGTGAAGATGTGGTTACAATAATCCTACATCAAAAGGGTACTGGTGGGATGGAATGGGATAAAGGGAAATACAAGGCCTGAAGAGTCGCAGCGAGCTGGCACTGCCCTGGTTTTTGTCCTTTACCACTCTGCTGCCTCACCCTCGGTCGGTGGAGCTAGAGAGGACTGCTTGGATGAGTGCTTCCCACATCTGCACCACTAAGAATCTCTCACAAAAAAAAATGCATCAAAAAAAAATACGCATCTCCATTATTCCTCCTAAGTACCCCTTATTTTGAGTGATGTTGTCTCCCTAAATGCATTAAGTCGTCATTGTTTCCCTGTTCTATTCACTATTTTGAGTGATGTTGTCTCCCTAAATGCATTAAGTCATCATTGTTTCCCTGTTCTATTCACCTAGGACAGTGATGGAGAACCTATGACACGCGTGTCAGAGGTGACACGCAGACTCATTTTTTTGGTTGGTTTTTCTTTGTTAAATGGCATTTAAATATATAAAATAAATATCAAAAATATAAGTCTTTGTTTTATACTTTAAGCAATAAAAAAATTAAAAAAGAAAGAAAGAAAAAAAAATAAAAAAAATAAAAATGCTGACACACCGAGCTCAAAAGGTTCGCCATCACTGACCTAGGATGTCAGAATAAATAAAAAAGTTACCTAGAAAAAATAAATTAGACTTCATCACAATTTCAAAACTTGTATGTCCAAGGACACTATGTAGAGAGTAAAATGACAACCCACAGAATGGGCGGGAGTACTTTCAAATCATATACCAGATAAAGGTATAGTATCTAGAATATAGTATAAAGAACAATAAAGACACAATAACAAAAAACACCAATTTTTAAAATAAAGTATTGGGGTGAAGGCTTGAGAGGGGGTGGGGGCTACATGGAGGGGGTAAAGGGGAGAATGGAGGACATCTGTAATAGTGTCAAAATAAAAAAAATTAAAAATAAAAATAGGCAAGGGATTGGAATAGAAATTTCTCCAAAGAAGACAGACAAATGGCCAATAAACACATGGAAAGATTCCCATCAGGAAAATGCAAATTAAAACCACGAGATACCACCTCACAACTAGTAAAACTAATTACCTAGCGTGACTAATAAAAAGGATACAATAGTCCTGGCCAATGTTACTCAATGGTTTGAGCATCAGCCTGCGCACTGAAGGGTCATGGGTTCAATTCCCGGTCAGGGCATGTGTCTGGGTGGCAGGCTCAATCCCTGGCCCTGGTTGGGGCGAGTGTCGGAGGCAACCAATCAATGTCTCTCACATCAATGTTTCTCTCTCTCTTTTCCTCCCCCTCTCTCTAAAAATCAATGGAAAAATATCCTCAGGTGAGGATTAACAACAATAAAAAGATACAATGACAAGTGTCAGGGAGCATGTGGAGAAATTAGAAATACAACAACAAGTGTCAGGGAGGATGTGGGGAAATTAGAACCCTCACACACTGCTGGTACAAATGTAAAACGGTGAGTACCTGTGGAAAATAGTTTGGCAGTTCCTCTGAAAGGTAAACGTAGTTACCTAATCACTCAGCAATTCCACAATTAGGAATATACCCAAGAAAACTAAAAACGTATGTTCATTCAAAAACGTGTACACAAATGTTCATAGCGATATTATTCGTAATTGTCCAAGTGGAACCAACCCAAATCTCCCTCGGCTGAAGAACTAATTCACAAAATGGAAAATATCCATGCCATGAATATTTTCACGCGAAGCCCTGGCACACGCTCCAGCACAGGTAAACCGTGAAAACATGATGCTGAGTGAAAGCCTGTCACGAAGGCCAGCTACTATATGATCCATTTCTATGAAATGCCCAGAACAGACAAATCTACAGAGACAGGAAGTAGACCAGTGGTTGCCAGGGGCTGGAGGGAGGGAGAATGGGAGTGACTGCTAATGGGTACAGGGTTCCCATTTGGGGTGATGGAAATATTCTGGAATTAGTGGTGATGGTTGCGCAACTTTGTAAATATATTAGAAATATCACTGAATTACCATTTGGGGTGATGGAAATATTCTGGAATTAGTGGTGGTGATGGTTGTGCAACTTTGTAAATATATTAGAAATATCACTGAATTGTTCATTTTAAAAGGGTGAAATTTATGGTATACGAATTATATCTCAAAAAAGTGTAAGTGAGCTGAGTAAATATCATTCCATCTGCAGCAATGAAATTGGACTTGCTTATTATACGGCAGCCTGAGGCCTCCTCTGACTAAGTCCTGACCAGCTGACTGAATCTCTCCATTTACCAGGGTCTTCATCTGTAACATGGGACGATAACGTTGCCGAGTCAGAAAGATCAAATGGAAAATGCACGGAAGTGATTAGCAAATGGTGCCCTGCCATCAAGTGTGTGTGCACGCTGGCCACTTCCATCAGAGGCTCCCTGAAGGAACAAAGCGAAGCCAGCACCCCAATCTGATGGATGCGAGGCCCTCCCCAGCCTGACCCTCCCCTCTGGTCCTGCCCCCTCACCTCAGGGGTCAGCGCGTTGTTGTCTGAGGTCTGACTGGACAGCAGGATGTGTGTGAACCCCTCTTCCTTCCGCACGACAATGTCCCGAAACCGACAGTTGCTTTCATTCTGGCGGACGCTGTACCTGAGCCTCTTGTCAAAGACGTAGTCCTTCTCCGTGTCCAGCTTCCTCTTCACCGAGCTGTGCATGTTTAATCCCCCGTTGGTCAGAGCAGAGCCTTCCAAAATCAGATAAACCAAGTGAGACACTAAGACAGGGACCATCGTGCAAGAGCAAGATCAGAGAGCATTCAGATTTTCATTGGAAGGGTCGGATGTGGCTGGGACCCCCGTGCAGCCTCTCTTCTGGGTGCACTTGCTATATCTCCAAATTCAGAAGAGGATAGAGAGGGCTCTCCGGGAAGGACCCCAGGTGATCCTTGAGTCCCCTCTCCCACACATAGGCTTGCTTCTGCTCGGATACCTTTTAGCAAAAAGGAACCACTGCTTTGAAAGCGTACGGCCACAAGACAAAAGACTTGCAGCTCTATTTATAGCCATCAAAATTGGGAGCAACCAATATGTCCTTTACCAGGTGCATGGATAAACAAACTATGGTCCATTCATACAATGGGGTATCATTCTACAATGAAACTAAGTTAGCTACCAAATCACAAAAATACAGGAACGAATCTTAAGTGCAGACTAAGTTAAAGAAGCTAGTCTGAAAAGGCTACACATTGCATGAGTCCAATTATATAACATTCCAGGAAAGGCACAGTGTCAAAACAGTGAAAAGGTCAGTGGCTGCCAGGAGTTCAGGTAGAATGAGAAGAGGTGGATAGGTGAAGCTCGGGGGATTTTTTTTTTTAGGGCAATGAAACTGTTCTGAATGACACTATAATGGTGCATATGAGACATTACATATTTGTTGAATCCCAAAAACTTAACAGCACAGTGTACCTTACAGTGTGCAGATTTTTAAAAAATGAAGAAACTGGGAGATTCCCAGGAAGGAATGCAGCATGTGATCAAAGAATGTAACTGTATTACAAATGTAGGAAACTGCCAAAACCGGTTTGGCTCAGTGGATAGAGCCTCGGCCCGTGGACTGAAAGGTCCCAGGTTTGATTCCGGTCAAGGGCATGTACCTGGGTTGTGGGCACATCCCCAGTAGGAGATGTGCAGGAGGCAGCTGATCGATGTTTCTCTCTCATCGATGTTTCTAACTCTCTAATTTATTTATTTATTTATTTATTTTTTACAGAGAGGAAGGGAGAGGGATAGTTAGGAACACCGATGAGAGAGAAACATCAATCAAGCACCTCTTAAGTCCAGTACAGGTGGCAGCCAAAGACAATCACTTAGTAGCTGCTACAAGGCTATGCTGCAAACCAAGGCTGGCTACACTAGTCACAGGCTTGGGACCACTTAGATTCTTAACCTTCTGGCCCTTTAAATACAGTTCCTCATGTTGTGACCCAACCATAAAATTATTTTCGTTGCTACTTCATAACTGTAATGTTGCTACTGTTATGAATTGTAATGTAAATATCTGATATGCAGGATGGTCTTAGGCGACCCCTGTGAAAGGGTCGTTCGACCGCCAAAGTGGTCGCAACCCACAGGTTGAGAACCACTGTGTTAGAGCATCATCCTGATACATCAAGGCTGCTGGTTCCGTCTCCTGTGAGGGCACATACAAGAAGCAACCAGCAAATGCATAAATAAATGGAACAACAAATCAATGTTTCTCTCTCCGGGTCTCTCTCTTCCTTCCCTTCCTCTCTCTAAAATCAATAAATTAAACAATTAAAAAAAGATGTTCCAACATCATATGTTATTAGAAAAATTGTAATTAAAACAAGATACCCTATTAAATGGCTAAAATTCAAAATACAAACAACACCAAATACTGACAAAGATGTGGAGGAACAGAAACTTTTATTCCTTGCTGGTGGAAATAAAAGTGGCTGGTGGTGCAGCCACTTTGGAAGTCAGTTTAGGAGTTTCTTACAAAATTAAACACACTCTTAGTATATGATCTAACCATCAAGTTCTTTGATATTTACACAAAAGAGTTGAAAATTTATGTACATAGAAAAAACCTGTACACAAATGTTTATAGCAATTTTATTCAACATGTCAAAACATGGAAGCAATTAAGATGTCCTTCATTAGGTAAATTGATAAATAAGTTGAGGTACATCCAGACAATGGAATATTACCTAGCACAAAAATGAAATGACCTATCAAGCCATGAAAAGACATGGAGGGACCTCAAATGCAGATTACTAAATGAAAGATGCCAATCTGAAGAAGCTACAAACTGTACGATTCCAACTATATGACATTCTGGAAAAGGCAGAACTATGGAGACAATAGAAAGATCAGTGGTTGTTAGGATTACGTGGAGAAGGAGGGATAAATAGATGAAGCACGGAGAATTTTTAGGACAGTAAAACTACTTAGTATGATACCATAATGGTGGATACATGTCATTATATATTTGTCAAAATCCCCATAGAATGTACCACACAAAGAGTGAACCCTAATGTAAACTATTTTATTAGTTAGTAATAATGCATCAATACTGGTTCATCAACTGTAACAAATGTACTGCACAAATGCAAGATATTAATAATAGGAGCTATATAGAAGAAAGTCTTTGTATTATCTTCCAAATTTCTCTGTAAATCTGAACCGGTTTAAAAAGTGAAGTTTATTTGCCCTGGCCAGTGTTGCCCAGTGGCTAGAGTGTTGGCCCACACACTGAAGAGTCGAGGGTTTGATTCCTGGTCAAGGGCATGTACCTGGGTTACTGGTTCAATCCCCAGCCGGGTTGGGGTACGTGTGGGAGGCAACCAAGTGATGTGTCTCTCTCACACATCTATGTTTCACTCCCTCTCCCCCCTCTCTCTCCTTGCCCCTCCCTCTCTCTATAAAGCAATGGAAAAAAATATATATCCTTGGGTGAGGATTAACAACAAAAGGTGAAGTATATATTAATGAACATATTTCAATAGTAAGTTAATAATAAATTTTTTAAAAACACAACACACTTCTTGGGTGATTCTGACACGCAGGCAAGTCTGTCGTGGCCCAGTAGTTCTTACACTTGAGCAGGCATCAGCACCCCCTGGAGAAAACCCAGCCTGCCGGGCCCACCCCATGGTGCTGCCATCACTCCCAAGACCAGGCTTTGAGAAGCAGGGTCCAGACAAGCCAGGTATCCTCCATCACCAGGCGTGAGACGTCTCCCTCAAGCCCTGGACTCAGGGTCCAGACAAGCCAGGTATCCTCCATCACCAGGCAGTTCCCCACCCCCAGGCGTGAGACGTCTCCCTTAAGCCCTGGACATGAACAGTGATGAAGGCCTGAAAATCTTGTTGAGCTCAGCATTTCTGCGGGGGGCACGGGATGGAGCCCCATCTCAAAAACAACCTCACTAGGCTGCAGTGATGTGGGTGGAAGGGTACAAGGAAACACAGAGAAGGATTTGCTCTGTGCTAAGCATTACTGGACCTTTCATTTTGTTTCTGGCAAGGAAGGGAAAGAAGTCACGATGGAGGCTGCAGTGCTGCATCCCAACCAGAAGCTGGTCCCCTGAGGCCAAACCTGGCCCTCTTAGGAAAATTACTGTGGACAGAGCGGACTCGTCCTGGTTGCTTATCCGCAGAGAGCAGGATCAAATGACATACATATTTAAAGGACCCATGATAAAAGTAAACAAGGAATAAATGGTAGCTTTTGTTTTCTAATCATCATGGCCCGGCTCAACATAAAAGTATTTCAATGATCCTCTCTCTCCAGCAATATTGTAAGCATTTTGAGGGCAGGGCCACTGTCACACATAACGCAGGCCAGCATAACACCTGTGCACCGCAAGTCCATGGGAATTGTTCCTTGGCCTCTGGAGCCCTGGGTCCGCCTCTGGGTGGACTCAGATCCTTAACTAGCATCGGGGGTCCTGGAAGCTCAAGAACCAAGCCAAAGGCAGAGACCGGGAAGTGCTTCACCCGACCCCTCCTCGGGAATGCTGGGTCCCCCCCAGGAGAGCGCCCAGCATGGAAGGGGCACCGAGGCCGCGGTGCCTGTGTCCTGCCCGCTGCCCCGAAGCTGCCTAGTGTTATACTTTTCCATCACTCCACACAATGCCGGGAAAGTGATTCAATGAACTCTGGAAAGTAAACTCGAGCATCTAATGAAAAGGCTTGTATAAAGGGAGCTGTGTCTTCAGGGTTAACCTCAAAACCTTCAGCTCCTCGGAGGGGCTTTCTAATTGGGGCTGGCCACGGTTTCTGCAGCAGCCCAGGCGGATCCAGGGGGTGGTCCGGGGGCGGAGGTGAGTGCATTACAGCCTGGGGAACAGGCAGAACCTCAGGGCGCTGGTACATCAATGCTTCCCAGGGCTGGGAACGGTTTGAATAAAATCCTCCTGCACCCCAACCAAATTGAGCTTCTAATTAACAGTTATATCAAGGAGGAGGACAGGAGGGTTCCCTGTGTTGAGCTCTCTAGTAGTATGTTGTCTCTAAATTTCTCAGCGCTCTGATGAAATCACCACGAGTCCATTTTGCAGATAAGGAAAAGTGAATAATGTGCTGGAAGCCACAGAGGTTTTAAGAGGTAAAGCCAGGATAGGAGCTAGCTGTCTCTCATTGGATTCATTCATTCACTCAAAATCTATCATCACCGCCCTATGGACTATCATACTAGATGATGGATATCCAAAAACATTGAAAAAATAAGATACCTGCCCTCACGGAGCTTGCTTGGTGGGGGCAGTGAAAAATAAAGAAGTAAATCAATACTGCATTAGATTCTGTTTCTGATTGTACGTGGCTACAACGGGCCCTGTGTTTTAGGAGACCCAGAGGAAAGTCACCCCAGAGCCCAACAGACTAACTTTACACAGAGCCGCCCTCAAGCCCCTCCCCTTTTGGGGTATTGAACCTTTGGAAAGACTGCAGCAAGCTGGCAGGGAAGACACCATGGGAAATAGAACATTCCAGAAGCATGGAAGTCTAGGGCTTTGTAGCCAGACAGTGTAAGAAGCCCAGCACTGCATTTGCTAATTCAGAGAAGCTAAGAAGTCACATGAGCTTCTGGAGCATTCGTGTCCTTGATTATTAGATAGTCAATAGTACCTGCTTTCCATGGTTGTTGAGATATTTCAATTAAAGAACTGATATGGGATTTTAACAAGTGCCCAGCTCATCCTAGGCATTCTGTAAGT